AGCCACGGCAACTGCATTGGAGAACGCACACAACCCCAATGGGCTGGCCTGGATGTTTGGTCGCTGCTTGTTTGTCCTTTCCTTCCAACCTTTTCCATCTGGAGCTCTCTTCACACCCGCCCCTCACTGCCTTCAGACCCTGCAGCTACACTGCGTCCTCCGTGAGCCTTTCCCTGGTCACCCACGTAAACACCTCCTCTGTCCAGGACTTCCACAGCGTCGTCCTCACTCCCAGTCCTCCCCTGCGAAGCTTTGCTCGGGATCTAGCTCGCTCTGCATGCTTTGCTCCCGCCCTTCCCATCCAGACACACAGGTGCACAACCTGTCACTGACGTGGTCCTTGTACGTATTAGGAACAGTTTTCTTCTGACATGGGGGCAAAACATGGGATTGCCATGACGTCGGGTAAAAACATAGACTTGGAGCATTCGGGTCAGAGTTTGGCTTAGGAAGTTTCACGGGTGCTAGTGTCCTTTCCCCGTGTCTCTGCCACCGGAGTTTGTCGATTTTGCTACGACAGCTCCCTTCATAGCCCTGATGAGAATCAATAACCCATGCTACAAAGTAGAGTGTGTAAGGTACACGTTCCAGGAGTCTCATGGCATACATACCACGCTTGCAATGGTGGCGGAAACATCCCCAACCCAAAAGACCCAAGATCTGGCAGATTCACAAGGCTGAGAGTAAAAGGCATAGCTGTCTTTACACAGTGACCCATTTTATTAGGTTGGAAAAAAAAAATCACAGGAGGATAGTGCTGCACCTTAAAGACTAAGTCCAGCTACTGGGCCTTCAAAGTCACACGCAGTTGTAAGAATGAGTCTCCGTAGGTAGCCCGAGCTAGCTTTGAGTTTTCAAACCTCTCTCTAGGTCCATTTCGCAGCTACACAATGCCACACTGGTTCTGGACCCATTAGCGTTTTTATTAATTGGGAGGTGGTGCCCTTTGCATATAGTAAAAGCATAGCTGCTCTTAAACATGCAGCTGGATAATCTTTCAGAAATGTTTTCATCCCTCCAATCAATGCCCACAGTGAGGCAGGGAATATTGTCAGCCTCCCCAGAAGGCGGTCTCCCAGCCTTTCATTCAGTGACTGTCAAAGACAATGTGCTGGTGTTAACTACTGGCTGTCCCGGTACTTGCTCTGTTGCCCAGGCTGGCCTCGAGCTCAGAGATCCGCCCGCCTCTGCCTCCTGTCTGTTGGGATTACCAGTGTGCAAAGCTGCTGCAGGCTCTTATTCTGTGTGTTCTTTGCGTTTTCTTCATGACCCTCCCATAAGTAGAATCTTGAAATCTTTAGTCTTTCTTATCTGGCTCCTTTCTCCCAACAGAAAGTCTGTGGTGGTTCCCCATGGTGGGAGAGTTAGCCCGGCATCTCTGTTGTGGGAGTTTGGTTTACTACACTGGGGGCACTTGCTTCTTTCTAGCTTGGGGGTTTTATGGCTGAAAGTCCTATGGCATGTCTTCTAGAGGACACAGCATTCTTTCTTTCTGTGTGTGTGTGTATTACTATAGGTTTTTAGTGACAGTAGATGTTATAAACTAGCCAGGACAAGGATGACACCAACGGTCATGCCAACTTGGAAGTGGGGAAGCTCCTGGGGCCTCACTCCTACATAAAGAACTAAAGGCAACTGAGGCATGAGAGTGAGAGAGAACCCGTCTTCCCTAGGAGAAGAGCACACCAGTATTAAATGGTCAGCCCCAAAAAACACGCACACAAGTAGTAGTGTATAGGTTGAGCAGGTTGTATGTATCTGGGAACAAACACCTCTCTCTCTCTCCTCTCTCTCTCTCTCTCTCTCTCTCCTGTATTTTTGACTATTTCTTTCCTTGTCTGTGAGAAGATGCTAGCATTGGTATGTAGCTGACTTCATGCCTGTGTTGTCATGTCTGTGAGAAGATGCTAGCGTTCGCATGTAACTGACTTCATGCCTGTGTCGTCATACCCCCCCCCCCCAACCTACTCTTCTGTTTGGCGTGGTCAGAAACTGCAGTTCACTCTATGGGACATTTTCAGTGCTAATATTTCATCCAAGAAACATCTTTCTGGTCTGTGATCGGCGATGTACCTCGGAAGCCAACTTTTTTCAACCTGGCATCCCCCTGCGTTTCTGACTTCCAGTTTAGAGGCGCATCCTACGATGCAGCCTGTTTCCGGTTGCTTCTTGGTCCAGATCACAGCTTCACAAGGAACTGTAGGATTGCGTTATCCATGTTAGAGCTGCCTGGAACCAAATGGGTGCTTGCTGTTATCATCACTGTTGAGTTTTTCATGTCTGTCTTCTTTGTTCATGTGTGAGACTGCGCTGTGTTCTAAGAAATGAGGGGGAGTAGGGTACTCCTACTGGTGGGGCCTAAGGAGAGCAAATGCCCTCATGCAGAAAGATTATAGTAACTTCAAAGTACAGTTTTGGAAAAATCTCTTTAAATCTACTCGGTGCACAATGGAAAGCCCCTTAAGAACCAATCTAATTATTCAATTAAATGGAACCGTTCTGCTGACTTTTACTACAGAAGGCAGGCGTAATTTAGAAAATGGGGCATTTTAATTCTCTTTTGTTTTCCAATTAGCACAGCGGCCCTAATAGGGACCACTCCTGCTTGAGCGCATGGCCTGCTGGAGCATGCTCTGTCCCTCACTCCGGTCCTCCTCACCAAAAGCTGCGCCCCTCACCTGTTGGCGCGGAGGCTTGCTTACTGCCGCCCTCACGCTGCCCACATCGTGGGCCCTGAGCACATATCTTCCTGCCATCAAAGCCACCACCGAGAGCCATGGGAGCCCGCAGAGCGGCCTCGCTTTCCCTGGCGGGGATAATTAGGACGTTGGAGTAAGAAAACTCTCACTTTTTTTTGCTGATGCCAGCTTACCACATCAGACCACATGAGTTTGCTCTTAGTTGAAAGTGGTAAAGAAAACGCTAAGAACATTGCCCTTAATTGGTCAATGCTATTTGGATGCTAGTCCACTCTTTTATAGCCCTTTGTTTTCAGTTTCTTTCTGCAACCAGCCTCCAGCTTATTCCAGCCGGTAGTCTCATGATGTAGCCCAGGTTGGCCTTGCGTTTGCGATTCTTTATTCTCAAAGCCTCCCGAGAACTTATACAGCTGTGGGCCTCCGTGGGTAGCCTCTTTACCAGCTTCTACCAATTGATGGTAGTTATTCAAAAAGACTTAAACTTTTTCTGATGCTCCCATATTTTATCTCTTCAACTCTATAAAAAAAAAAAAAGCTGACGTTTTCATATTGGTGAGAAAGTATGCTTTTCATCCAAGGCCTCTGGGACTGGAGCAAAGAGCTGTTCTTTTCTCTCTAACTGCTCAGATGGAGGCAAATGTTGGTCCTAAATAGTGGTCCATGTGGCTAGTCCCTGTGGGGGGAGGAATGGTGATTGGAAGATACCATGTTTTTTTTTTAATGTAAATATATATATAGTATATATTTCTATATTGCTTGGGCTTGATTCTCTTTGGACTCTGGAAAATAGATAATTTGGAACCCTAATTTGGGAAAACATTTTATAAAACAATAGAAAATGATAAAGAAATGTGTGTTGTTGTTTGAGTGAACTTGTTCCTGTAGAGGATTTTGAGAGAGGGGACAGGAAGCCGGGCACTCTCTGGGGATGGGAGGTGTGGTCCTCAGCTCTGTACGTGACCTAACCCATTTCAGCAGTGATGGCTGCAGTGGCCAGCCGGCTGCCTGTGATGGCCGGGGCTCCTCGCTGGGTGACATTCCCACTTCGGGTCTTCATAAAGTCCTGCCCCGGGCCTGTGACGGTGGCTGAAGAGGTTTCTTCAGACAGTCTCCTTACATCGCTGTCTTTCTGTAGACATACCGATGTATTGAGAAGTTTGTGCTAGAATAGAAAGTTATTTCATACGATGATGATGACAGGCAGGTTCAGAGTAGAGTTACCCCCTTCAGGTTTTCTTCCGTGGTTTAATGAACGTGTGGTGTAGGTAGAGATAGAAAAGAGGGATATTTTTAAGAAGAGAAAAAAGAAAAAAAAATTAACAACCAGCTAGTAAACCTTGCAATTAAAAATTAAAAAAATAGAAATTTGGAAGTAAGCTCAAAATAGAGGGTTAATTAGCTTATAGCAATAGAAAACTGCCCATCTAAATGTGTTTAAAAGAGTCAATTAAAATTTACAGCATACAGAAGTTATATCTTTAAATTACTTTGAAGATTTTCATGTATATTATTTAAAACAATTACATTTAAAGAGCAACAACTAAGAGAAGGTAAAGTTATTCCTGATTCTACAGAGGTCGTGTTTTCTGTCCCAATGTGCCATCTGTTTCTCCCGAGTACCCACGGAGCCGTGAGGGCGAGAGTAGCAATGATTACCACAGGCTGAAAGTTTGCCCCAAGCCACGGATGGGCTGACCAGGAGCTCCTGGGCCAAATCCAGTCTCGGGAGGGAACAGCTGAGCTCATTCATTTCTCCTGAGTGGCTCCCCAGCAGTGACTGTGGCCCCTCCTGTCAAGGTCCATCCCTCCTTTGGGAACCCTGTCCCGTATGCAGGCCATACATCTGACATCTAAAGCAGCCCAGCCACTTTCTTGATCTCTCTCTGCCACGTGTTGAGACTGGGGGTAGGGGGCTGAAAGACATGCCTTAGCCTTGTGGCTTAACGCCTTAGCGCCTCACGGTCTAAACGCTGCTGTATACAATTCATTTGATTTTTTTTTTCCTTTCTTTTTTGTTGTTTTTGAAACAAGGTCTTGCTAGTCTAGAGTGGCATCAAACTTGAAGTGTAGCCCAAACTGAACTCAGATTCATGGAAATCTCCCCGCTCAGGCCTCCCACCTTACCCAGCTCCAATGACTGTCATGAACCATACACTTCGTAGATGACATGATTTCTACTTCCTCACAAGCGACTCCAATCGAAGCGTGGCGTGCAGGAGGTAGCACCCGCTGCAGAGGTCTGGTGGCTTCGCAGACCTAAGGTCCCAGTCACACTAATGTTCTCCCCCTTCTGATCATCAGGTCCTCCATCGACAGCAGTCCCAGCCGACCAAGGAGAGCTCTCCTCCCAGAGAAGAAGCGCCCCCACCGCCCCCTCCCGCCGAAGACAGTTGTGCCAAAAAACCCCGCTCTCGCACCAAGATCTCCCTAGAAGCCCTGGGCATCCTGCAGAGCTTCATCCACGACGTCGGCCTCTACCCCGACCAGGAAGCCATCCACACCCTCTCGGCCCAGCTGGATCTCCCCAAGCACACCATCATCAAGTTCTTCCAGAACCAGAGGTACCACGTGAAGCACCATGGGAAGCTGAAGGAGCACCTGGGCTCCGCCGTGGACGTGGCGGAGTACAAGGACGAGGAGCTGCTGACCGAGTCGGAGGAGAACGACAGCGAGGAGGGCTCGGAAGAGATGTACAAGGTGGAGGGGGAGGAGGAGACCACGGAGAAGAGCAAGGCGGCGCCCGCCGAAACCGACCAGAGATAATGTGAACTCCACCAGATGAAGCAATATATGGGTCCAAGGACTTTCTGTTTTCGTTTCTTTAAAAAAAAAAATCTCTTGGCTTTGTTTTTATTTTGGTTTTGTTTTTATGGTCTGTTTTATTTTTCTTACCCGTAATGGCATTCCTCTGTCGCACAGGATCGCCTATAGACTGAGTAAACTCAGTGGTTCTGAGTCGGGTGTCACCTTGGCAAAGACACTAAGTGTCAAACTCTGACCATTGACTGGACCATAGTGATGCCAGTCACGGGAGACTCCGCCTTCATTCCCCTTGCTCTTATGGAAGAGACACCAGGCAACTTCCAGGACGGAAAGACCCACGAGATAAATGAAGGAAGCTACGAGTGTGTGTATATGTATATGTATATATCTCTATATTTACATATATATATATTAAAAATTGCATGGGACAGAGAACTTTACAATCCGAAAGAAGAGACTGTGAAATGAGTTCTTAAAGAAAAGACTTGTTTATGTATAAAAAAAAATATGCCACTTCACAGTGAGTTGCTCTGGCTTTTTGAGAAACTGCGGCCTGCTCTCAGGGTGGGGTGACTATTTTTGAATTCCTATTTATTTTGTGTGTTTGTCCCTAATCTTTTTTTTTTTTAATTCTATGGCTTCCTATCTGGCAGCTTACTGGGTAATTTTTGAGGTATGTATTTAACAAAAATAACACTGCCAAAAAAAAAAAAAGTAAAGAAGCAAGAGAAAGGCAAGAAGAGAGTGAGCCAGAGGGAATCAGGGCCCGTTAGTAACGAGACAGTACACATTCCTCCGGGAGACAGGATGCACACTTGCGTAGGCTCGAGGACATGAGCCACCACTTTCCTTTAGCGTCAGCGAGCAGATGCGTTCTGTGGAATTCCTTCTGAGCCAAGTCCAGTGCAGAGGAAACTTGACCAATTAATTAGTGCAGTCTCGAAAGATGACATTTTGACATGGGACTTGCGGAGTTCATGCTATGAGCCACATTTTATCGTGAAGTTTATTTACCTGCTTGTGGCTTCAAATTTTAAAACTATTAAGCCTGCTCATTTTAAATTGTTGGTTGTTACTGTTTTTTTTCTTTTTATTGTTTCTGGATTTTTTTTTTTTAAGAAATAGAACATAGTTCGATGTAATGTTAAGTTAGAGAAAGACGTTTCCGCCCAGTTAGAGGGGCTTCCACTCAAATAAATCTCCACCCGGCCTCTCCCCCAAGTGTTTCTTCCTCCCCATTTCGGACCTTCCTCTTCTCCGTACACATCCCATCCACTTTAGCCAAGCCTCTGCAGCCCCCCTGAGCTCACACGCTGCCTCCACGCCTTCCCCCTGCCACGGCAGCCCTAACAGGAACCTGCTTTCCAGATCTCTCTGCACCTCCAGGCAATAGAGTCAGTGAAGCATCTCAGCAGAGTCACCCAGTCCTCGGAAAAGGAAATACCGCCCCGTGCCCCACATAGCGCTTACCTGACGTAAAGCGGAACTAATGCCGAACGGGCTGTCTTGTGGAATGAGCGTTAAAGCTGCCATCTACTGCAGTTCGTCAGATCTCCTTGGGTTTCCTATTAGAAACAGTAGCATTACCTTCCAGTTCCACTGACAACGATGGCAGGAGGGGGACCTCCCGCTTTGGGACTGGCCTCCAGACCCTTCTTCAGGCTCGAGATGGCCGCCCAGCGGTCCCACGTGGTTGGATCTTGTCTTGTTTTGTTTTGTTTTTGAGTTGTATCCTCATGCAACCTTGTCAAAGACCTCATGCAATATCACTTTGAAATTTATTTTCTGTTTACTACACAAACATTGTAATATAACTGTTAATACTATTTATATATTTGAAAGGTATAAGAGGTAGGAGTTTAAAAAAAAATAAAAACCTCTATGTGTAGATATTAACTCAGAACTTACACTCTACAGGGAGAAGACACGTTGCAATACAAGCTAACTCTGGCCGCTTAGTAACCTCTGGAGTTCTCAAAGGGACGTTTTCCTGTACTTTTTCAAATAATGATGTTCAAAAAAAAAAAAACCGGTTACCTTGACAAGAGCGTCATGTGTCTTTGCAAAAGGACGGCTGTGTTTGCAGTTGAGGCCTGGGCCCACCCTTCCCGTTTCTGTAGATGCTGCAGCTTTAATCAGAAAAGTCCACAGTTGCTGCTTCCCGATCTCCGAGTTACTCCCTCCAAATTGTCTTCTGACACCGTTGCTGAAGTCACCCTGTACACGTCCTAGGCACCGATTTTTTTTTTTTTTTGCCAATTTCTTACAGGTGGTTCATCGATCGATGGCATCCGCGTTTGATATCTTTTACACTTCAACCAAAAATTTATTAGGTATTTTTCAATGCTAAGTCTTGCCTTTTATTTTTTAATTTCACTGCCAAGTGTGCAGTGGTTCTAAGTGAATCTGTGGGCATTTTAGCCTGTGGTCTTGCCAGATCTTTGCGAATTACAGTGCTTATATGTCTATTTATTCAATACCTGTCATATAATATCTATCTGGGAAAAGAAACTTTCTCTTGTAGTGCCTCTCGACAAAGCACAATTTCCCGCCTTTTTTTTTTTTGTGAAATGAAGAAGAAAAAAAAACAAATTGTGTTTTATTGCAGTATCAATAATGTGAATAAGGATTAAGATATTGTAAATGTTCTTTTTTCCATGTAAATCAACTATCTTTGTTATCACTAAGTGATAATTAATTTTTAACTTATGTGCATTGTTAGGCTGTTAGAGTTTTTTGGTTGTTAAAATAAAATGCATTCAATAAACCCGACTTGGTTGGTCAAAATAGTTTTCTGGGCGTCGCCCTCCTTTCCCGTTTTAATTCTTCACTGGAACAGGACCTGGAGACTCTAAGAAAAATCTGCACCCTCTTTTCAGAAGGGAGACCGCGGTACCCACAATGGCAGATGTCTGAGTTCTGTCGAGTGCGTGGCTTTGATTGCACATGGGAATCCTGTGTGTCCCTCTGCATGTATAAACACAGGCATGCTCACATGCTGGCGTGGGCAGCCCCGGGAGTCATTTCTCCCATCGTCTTGTCGTATATGAGCACAATTCAAATGGATAAAGATATATTTATGGGATCCCTCCTTTATTTTTCTAGTGACTATTTTTCTGTTTATAATTAAAAAAAACCACAAATGAGTGCGTGTCAGGAAACTTTTGGAGCACATATGTCCGTGGTTAATGGACATAATAAAAGTCTTTTCTATTTAGAGCTCGGGTACCATAATGTGTGCGCATAGGAATGCCAGAGGATTGATGTATCTGAGAAATGTGCAAAAAATGATTTTTTAGAAAGTGCTTACGACGGAAAAAATTACTCCAAAGACTAAAGTTAATAGAGAAGGAGCAAATGTTTAGCTGCAGAGGAAGTAAATTAAAAAGTGATTTGGGTTTTTAAATACTTTTGGTTTTTCCCGCCTTTCTGCTTCTCCTACCTCTCTGCTTCGGTGGGTAGAGAGATGGACTTGCTCCCCTTTTCCGATGAGGCTTTGCAGCCCACAGACCGGTAGCTCTATCTTAAGGATAGTCAGTTACTACCAGGTGTTTAAGGAAATGCAGACAACTTAAGGCTTTTAAGAATAACTAGTGCCCAAATTGGGGCTACCCATATTCTCAATGCAATGTAAATGACCTCTGGTTTGGGGAACGGAGACCAGGAAGGAGAGAGAGCATTGGAGGGATAATTTGACTTTGAACACAAGTTTCTTCCCCATTCCCACGTTCTTTCTGGGGTTCCCTAGAGACAAACTGTAAAGTGAAAACTGCCAGCAGCCCGCTGAGCCGCTTTGCCTGGGGGACAGATCTTGTGCTGTCTGCTCCTGTTTTGAAGAAAACACTACCGAAAGAGCCACTCCTTCCTGGGCTGAACTATAGTTACATGAGAAAATCAGAACTGCGATCTAGAAGGCTTTTTGGCAGGCTTAGCTGCGTATACGAGGGAGGATTGGGGCGAGAAACAGGGATTCAAACTAAGACTTTATCGCTTCACAAATGCAGGAAGTAGCTAAGGTAAATTGACTCCGCAGAGTTGTCAGGATTACCCTCACGTCTCAAGCATACATCTCAAGCATACAGCTCCGTTTCCCCCCCACACTTGTTGCTCGGTTTCCTCTTTATGCTCCCAAATGACTCTCACAGGGCTGGCTGTCGTGCCCAGCATCCACAGACAGGGCAGAGAGAGAGCAGTCACCAATAATATACTCCTCTGGGAGCTCTCTCACAAGCCCCACGTCTGTATCCACAGGAGGGAACTGTTTCTAGCTTGGTCCCTAGTTCCAGAAAGAAGAGCGGATTTGGGGAGACAGCTGAATCTCCTGCCCCAGACGACATCCAAAAAGGATGCCGAAAGTGACAGATGAGCAAAAGAGAAAGAGGCACCTTCTCCCTGGAAATCTTCCCTAGATCCTTTTCTCCTCCTGCTCCCCCTGCATTTATTAATTAGTTTTGGGTTTATCTAGTTCCCTCATCGTGAAGTCCTTTCTGCACTCCTCTGCCATGTGCTGCAAATCCGACGGCCATGGAGCTCTCAGTGCACGTCACCACCACGGATCTCACAGTATGTTGTGGTTTCTATGTTTAATGTGTCCCTCTTGAGCCCCAAGCCTTGCAGCTACTTCTAGTCATTGGGCTGCCCACCATCTACGACAGTGCCAGTATGTGACCAAGAGAAGAGATGCTTTTAGATGATGATGATGATAATGATGATAATAATAATAATAGATGGTTTATTAAATATTTGATAAAGGCTAGGGATGTAAAGTAGGCCTGAAGACCTAGTTTTGGTCCTAGCACCACATAAACTGGATATGATGTGGTGGGACAAGCCTACAGTCCTAGTGCTCAGGGGATAGAGATAAGAGAACCAGAAGCTCTCTGGCTACGTCATGAGTTCGAGGCCAGCCTGAGCTACAAAAAGAAAAGAAACATGCTTTAAAACAAGGTATTCCTAATTAGAGATAGCATACTCCCAACAGTGATGAGGAACACACTGCACACACAACAACAATAACAACAATTAATGGAAAAAGAGGCTGTGAATTTGAAAAAGCCAGGAGAGGTATATGGAGGATTTTGAGAGAGGTAAGGGAAGAGGGACAATGGTATAATCTCACACACAAAAATAGGTAATTAAAAGGAAAAAAAGTGACCACAGAATATCAAGAAGGGCCTGACTTGTTGGGGCCTTTCCCAGAGCTTTGTTCTTTGGGTTCCTCAAGTGGTGTATTTTCAGCTAGCCTGGGGTAGGATGGGGGGAGGTAACTAAACTCCAGATTTCAAAGTGGGTTTTGTTTTCTCTGATATTTAGAAAATTATTCAAGACACAAAAGTTGGGACTCCTCAAATTTTTCATTCTTTCTGGATCTTTCCAAAGGTGAAAATTGGAAAACTGGGGTGAGGATGCTAAATTTTGTTCAAGTTGAGAATATTCATCCACTTTCCCCCCTGCATTTTCATGTTGTTTTTAATACACTCTGCAATGTTGGGGAAAGCCGCTTGTTCATTTCCCCGCCCCAGACTCCAGAAATAACCACACAGAAACTGTATTAATTACATCACTGCTTAGCTCTGGCTTCTTATTGGCTAGCTCTTACATCCTAAACTAGCCCATCTCCATTTATCTGTGTATCGCCACATGGCTGTGGCTTGGGGGAGGGGTGGTGGTGAAAGGTTCCATCCCCAGTGTCTGTCTCCGGTGGGGCTACATGGCTTCTGCCAGATTCTGCCTTCTTTCTCCCAGAATTCAGTTTAGTTTCCCCCACCCCCGCAGAGCTCTGTTCCGCCTTGCTATAGGCCAAAGCTGTTTCTTTATTTATTAGTCAATAAAATCAACACATATATAGAAGGACCTCCAATGTCACTACAGTAAAGGACAAAAGCTAGACGCCGCAGCACACGTATGTAAACCAAGCACCCAGGAAGGTTTACAGGCAAAAGAGGATGTTGCAAGTTCAAGGCCAGTTCTTGTCTGTAGTGAGATCTTGTCAAGAAAAGAAACAAAGCTTCTCCTAAATTGATCCACCTTCCAAGATCCCGGCCCATGGGGCATTCATTCCTCATCTCACAGCTCCTATCTGGGCTGCCCACTGGGCAGTCAGAGCCAGCCTTTGTGGCTAGTTCACACCTCTCATGCTGATGTTTGTAAAGAAAATCCCCGAAGACCCAAGGGGGTTTGGAATCGAAAGAGCTGAGTTCCCACAGTGGCACCATCATTGCCACGGGGTGTAATATTGACTAAGTTGTCTTTGACCTGCTATCCTCATCTAAAACCAAGGGATGGACAGAGTGGAGCTCAGCCACTGAGCACACACATAGCATGGGCGGAGCCCTAGGTTTAGCCTCCACAGCCAAACCCAAATCAGGGATGATGCACCTGACCCAACCGGTAGTGTTAGGGATGCTCCAATGGTTGGGAAGACGCTTGAAACCTGGAAAGCTTGGAGAATTACCACATGGTACAAACGGAACTTGCCAGATACACTCCCCTTAATTCATCTTTGGGACCTTGTAGGAAGCCCAGTAAAACAAGGTGACGTGTAGACGTTCATAGAATTTGTGACACATGCTTAAGATTTGATGATAGGGAATGCCGTGATCAATTCAAATGGTCTGGAAAGATCTATGTAGCCTAGGCAGCGTTTTTGATTTTTAACACAGAATCACATCTCTGGATTCATTTAAGTTCATTATTGTAATCAAGACAAGGGTTCTAAGACTCCAGAGCTTCCATCTTCTCTCCGGTATCATCCTACTTCTGTGTTCAGTGTCTGCGATTGTCCCTGCCTGTGTCACAGAGGGTCAGGGCACTGGCCGCTGTGACACACTCGTGATCACGCTTACACGAGCTGATCATTGCACTTCTCGGAACACACTCTCACTGTTTCGTCTGACTGGCATTTCAGAACTATCCCAGAAGAATCTGAAAAACAGTTACTTTGTGACTTTTTTTTTTTTTTTAAGGAATAGCAAAAGCTTGGGAAATTCCATATGGAGAAATAATTACAAAATTATTCCATTAATGTTGCAGGGAATGGTACAGAGCAGTAATAAATTGCAGAGGTAGCTGTGATTTTATCACTACCCATCAACAAAGGTAATTCTACAGCGTACTAAGGGCATCGTGGGAGATTTGGTAGCAACGTTGAGCAGTTCTAAGAGCCCACCCTGAAACAAAAAAGCAAGGAAACACTTTTTGAAATCCTATCTCTCTCAAGTTGATCACGGGAAAATGCAGTGGGCTGTTCCTCCTGTCTGTCCATCTCTTATCAAATTTGTGGTTTGATAAAGTAACTTTTCAGATCCCCGGTTTTCTCATCCATAAAGCCAGACTAGTTTCAAGTTCTAATAATCAAATAACTATAGAAATATCAGGACTATTTCCTTCCCTCTTTTCTTCCTTCGTTTTCAAGGAGTAAGAGATCAGGGAGCACTGAAATGTTCCAAATGACTTAGGAATTCAGGTGAGCTTTGAGTTAGGGTAAGATCTGATGTTTAGATTTAAAAAGAAAAAGAGCAACATTAGCGCCTGATTTCTGCCAAGGTAAAGAATCCAAGGTGATTCACAGCAATATTGCCCCGTCCTTACTTTCTCCTCTGTCCCTTCTCCTCCTTCTCCCTTCACCCCATTTCTTCTCCCCCTCCCGTTCTCTTTGTTCCTGTCAGAAGCTATATGATTTCCCTTCTTAATTCAAACCAAAACGAGTGTAATGTATTGGCAGTCTTTTGAAATCTTCAGAACGTTTGGATGCTAACAGCCCGGCAGCCGCC